TTCAAATTATGCATTTAAATGTACATCTGGTAATTAAATGACACTGGTAAATATATTTTCATTAAGCTGTACATTATGTGCTTGCTGCCATATATTTTCAACGAGTTAAGGGCAAAAATCAGCATCTTTCTACAAAGAAATACATTAATAATTTTAAAATTACACAAAGACTTTCCATTTCAAAGCAAATGTTTTCATAGACCTTTCAAGTACTTGTAGTTGGGGGCCCGGGATTTAGCTCAGCGGTTCCTCCACCTGTCTCACAAGTGGAAGGTTCCAGAGTTCGATCCCCAGTGCCCCCCCAAAAAAAGTACTTATAGTTGTTACACTGTCGCTGAATATTTAATTTATATAATATTGTTCAATAGGATATCAGACACTATACTTACAGAATAATTAGTACCAGTTCATTAAACTATAAGCCACTTTATTGATAAACTTTCTGCAGTGAAGAGTACCCACATGGAAGTGTGCCAAATGCTTTTCAGGCTGTGTAAAGCAATCTGTGAGGTGTGTAATAAGGTTTATCTTTGAACATATACACCACATGCAAGCAGTGACACAGATGCATCTGTGCTGGCCTACAACTCCCTTACAACTGTGTTTACCTAGGAGTTTCAAAACAATTACTGTAAAACAATTTCCTTAAATTGAAGCAAAAATGTAAATTTTCCGTTTCAGTTGGTTTTAGGTATAAGTTCAGCTGCATTAAGTACATCCACACTGTTGTTCAACCATCACTACCATCCATGTCCACAGCTCTTTCGTCACCTCCAGTAGAAACTCTGTGCCTGTGTGCACTACTACCAACTCTCCCTCCTCCCAATCCCTGGTGAACTCAGTCCTGCAGGCTCTACAAACTTGACTCTCCTAGGTACCTCATACAGATGGAGCTACACATACAATATTTGCATTTTCATTCACTGAGCATAAAGTGCCAGTGCTCACCTGGTTATGGCCTGCGTTATAATCCCACTCCTTTTTAGTGCCAAACATTATTCTGTTATAGGTTTGTACCACATTCTATTTATTCTTTCGCCTGTTGAAGGGATGGACACTGGGTTGCTCCCACCTTTTGGTTATTGTGAATGACGCTGTTACAAACACTCATATCTGTTCCACTTCTTGCTTTTAGTTCTTTTGGGTATATTCCTAGAAGTTGAACTGCTAGATCACATAAATCCACTTTTACTTTTTGAGGAAGCTACAGACTGTTTTATACAGCAGCTATGCCATTTTATGTTCCCACCAGCAATACGGAGGGTTCCAGTTTCTCCACACAAGGATGATTGCTTTTTAAAGTATAAAACATGAATAAAAATACTGTGCTATAATTTTGGCTCTTGCATCTTTTCATTTCTCTTGACACCTCCTCTTTTCACTGAAATCAAAACCACAAGAACAATGATACAAGGCTCAGTCTAATTAGAAACCTTACTTCCCAAATGTCTTCTCACGCCAAGGCCAACCTGAGGGACACAGTGAGACCCTATTTTGAAAAACCAGAAACAAAGGCTCTTGATGAGGAGAGATGAAGGAAGTTAAACATTATAAAAGTTCTCAGACTATGTTACTACAATAAAAAATTAGTGCAGAGGTAGGAATTAGCATATAGAAGAATGGGGTCAGAAGACAATTTCTTCCCTAAAATCTGAAGGACACACTAAATTCCTTAGAATATAATTCAAAATTGGAGAAAGAAAGTAAAAACAAGTTCTGATAATAGCAAAGTAAGTACAGGTGAAGAGAGACAATCAGTTTGGACCTTCAAACGAAGACTGAAGAAAAGATAATTAGATAGTACACACCTACATTTTCTGAGGCCTTCTGATGTAGAGAGAATGAAAAATTTAGGAGGGTTTTTCTGATATATTCTTTAGACTGTTGCATGTTGAATGACGATAACTGGTTTAAAATGTTACATGTTATTTCTTCAGATTAAATAACACTTAAAGGACTACGTAAAATAGTATTTGAAACAGGCTAGAATAAAAACAAGCATTTTAAGAGTAATCACATAACGAAAAAGTAAAATGGTAAGATTCATAAGACAACTTAAGTTAACATATGAAAATACGGATTTCAAAGGTTCACTATTACAGCTTACGTGATACTTTATATTATATGATACTTATACAATACAGACATGAATGTTCCAAAATTTGTTTATACCACATTACATATAAAGATAATATTCCACACATATTTAAGTTTCACATGAAAATATATCCTCTCTAAGACAAAAATAGCTGCCGGGCGTGGTGGCGCACGCCTGTAATCCCAGCACTCAGGAGGCTGAGGCAGGAGGATCACTGCGAGTCTGAGACCAGCCTGGGCTACACAGTGAGTTCCAGAGCAGTTTGAACTACATAGTGAGACCCTGTCTTAAAAAAAAAAAAAAAAAAGACAAAAATAGTGACTTTCACTTTATAAAAATACCTAAATTTCTCATTAAAGAAAGACTAAAATACTTTAGCTGGATTTCACCAGAATTAATTCAAAAGAGAAGTACTATCTGGACATGAGGGAATACCACAACTCTTTCAGAGTCATGTCAAAATTATTCATATAGGGTTTTGATTAGTTTAGCTACTACATGCACATTGAGACTATTTCCAAGTAGACGGTAACACTGCTTCATGGTAATCTTCTTGGGAAATCCTAGAAAAGAAAAGCAACAATTTATAATATAATCATGTGTAAGAGTAATTTCCACACATAAAAGGATGCATCCTTTAGTAAAGGCACAAGGTCATTTCAAAAGTACAGTCATGCACTGTAAAACGACAATTGAGTCAACAACAGACCACACGGGTGAAGGTGGTCACACAAGACTGTATCACCTAGTGCTGTATGGCTGCCTTAGTTTGTGTAAATACACTCTAAAATACACTCTAAAACGCAATAATGAAATCACATTTCTCAGACTGCATTGTTAAGTAACATATAACTTTACATGACTAAGGTTTCCATTAAGTTTTATTAATAAATGAGAATTTGGAGCCAAAATATACACCATTATATTGCCTACACAATGAAACATTATCATATTATATAGCCTCGTATTATAGTCAACATACACATATACAATATGCATACATGTGCACCCACAGAACTCCTAGAAATCCACGTATTAATGTACTATAGAAAAATAGGAGGAGCTCCTATTTTTCTAGTTAATGACAGAGATAATTTGCATCCCATAAAATTCACCCCTTCAAAAATGTAGAGTTCAGGGGTTTTTAGACTACATGAAGTGTTTTAAGCAACTCTGTAACTTCTAGAACACATGCACTGCTTCAAAAAAGAAGCCCAGGACTCACTAATAGCCTCTTTCCATTTTCCCTTTTTGCCTCCTGTTATGGCTGTGTTTAGATGTTCCTCCAAAGCATCATGCAGTCATAGATGGGACTTTTTCAGAGGTGGCTGGATCTAGAGTGTGTGACACTGGGGTTGAAACATGGTGCAGGGCTAGGATCAAGGGCACTAGGATTAAGGGTGTGAGTTCTACCTACCCTAGGTAGTCTGGATAAGACATGAAGGACAGAAAGAGCTGTGGTTGTCCCTTGCTTGCTTTGCTACCTTCTGCCCACAATGAACTGTTTCTCCTCTGCGGTGCCACCCTGCCTTGGAGCCAGCCAATTATGAACTGAAACCTCTACAGACTGTGAGCTAAATAAACCCTTCCTCTTTTAACTTTGGGAGTTGGGTATTTTGTTTCAGCAATGAGAGAAAAGTAACTAAGATACCTCCTTACCATTAATCCACTGATTTGTCTATTCTAAACATTTCATATAAATGGAGCCATATATTACTGCCTTTTATGTCTGGTTTCTTTCACTTGGCACATTTCCAAGGTTCGTTGTCATTATAGCATGTTTCAACACATATTCCTTTCTATGGTTAAATAATATTTTATCATATGGATATACGTTTTATTTACCTATTGATCTACTGATAGTCACATTGGTTTTTACTTTTTGTCTAATATGAATAATGCTATTGTAACACACATGTAGAAGTTTTGTGTAGAACTGTCAGAAGTTTTCTGAAGCAGCTGTCAACTTCTTATATTTCCAGTGCTTGATGATAATTCCACTTCCTCAATTCTTTGCTAACACTACTAGTAGCTTTTGTATTTTAGCCATCTGAATAGGTATGAAGCAATTCTTCATGGTGGCTTGATTTACATTTCCCTAAAAACTAATTGTGTTCAACATTTTTTTCATGTGCTTTTTGTCCATATTTCTATCTTCTTTGGAGAAGTGTTGCTTCAAATTCTTGCACATTTTAAAAGAGGTTGAGCTGTAACAGTTCTTTATACATTCTGAATACTAGTCCCTCGTAGATGTTTCTCATACTTTTTTCCACAAATTGATTTTCTCATGTTAGACTTCTATTTACATTCAGGACAATATGGAATAGCAATTAACTAATGGAAAAGTACATTGGATAATAAAGTGTAGGAAATAATTAAAGAGCATCAAGAACACCAAAATTTTCTATTTGGAAGAATCAGAAGGTAAAGTTGGTTATGGTAAAATTGCTTCATCAACACTTGACATTATATTGATAATAGTAATTACTACAAAAAAACTATTATTTGCAACTGAACCTGACTGCAAAGCTGACAGTCTAAAGATGGTAAGCATATTACTCATCACATTTAGTTCAATCAGTCAGAGTTACAAATGTATCTACAAACAAACTTTTAGTATATCCCAGGGATATAATGATTGCACTGGTGGAAATTACCACCAACAATGTAGAAACATCTTTTTTATAATCATTATGGAAATCAGTATGGAGTTTTCGCAGAAAAACTAAAACTAAAAACTCTATTTGACACAGCTGGTCCCTTTCTAGATATATTCCCCAAAGAAATAAAGACAACATACTATAGCAATACATGCATACCAGTTTATAGCATCACAATTCATAATAATTAAATCCTGGAAGCAGCCTATACATCCATCAACAGAAGAATAAAGAAAATGTGGTATCTATACATAATGGAATATTACTTGGCTAAAAAGAAGAGACATTTGTAGGAAAGCGGATACACCTTGAAAACATAACATTAATTGAAATAAATCAGACACACAAGCTTAAATGTACAGTTTCTCTCACATAAGTAATGCAAAGTACAAATAAAGGACAAAAATAAAAGACTGATAAAAGTACTAGGAAGACAGGTCTTTTGCAAGAGACCAAGGGTGAGGGAGGATAAAGGGGACATAAAAAGATTAAGGATGCACCACACATGTGTTCCAGAGATCCACAGTAAATGTAATCATAATATGTTGCAAAAATGAACATAAAAACAATATAACATATAACAATAGTAATGAAAATAGGGAAAGGAAATCTAGAGACAGAGGGAGGAAGGCAGCTGGAGAGGAGCAGGGTCATGAAAAGAACTGAGATACGCTAAATGCATAAGATGAATGTACACTTCATGTACTACAAATGAGTACTAATAAAGAACATTTCAGAGACAGGGCTGGGGATTTAGCTCAGCGGTGCCGCCACCTGCCTCACAGGACAAGGTCCCAAGTTTAATCCCCAGTACCAAAAAAAAAAAGAATAGTTCAGAGACAACCTTTTGCAATAGTATTACACTTAAAAAAAGAGAAAAGCTGTGTAAACAAGCCAAATTTATAAAGTTTATGCATGTGCATCTGTGTGTACTTTATAAATAGGTATTAAAGTCTAAACTAATTAATAGAAAATGCATAATTGCTTAAGTTTAAGGATGACTTAAAAATTCAGATATGTTAAAAATAACAATAATAATTATCAAAAGTAAAGAAATAGATATTAACAAGCTCAAGGTAATAGCTCTTAAGCAGTAAGTGTAGGTTAGTGCCCCCGCCTTTCCAAATCAGCTACTTCATCAACACACTGCTGCCAGTCACAAGGAATCAAGACGAAAAATACAGAAAGATTAATGCAAATCCATCTTTGCCGGTGGGCAGACAGCCTAGACAATGCCTGTGTTTGACCTAAAATCAGTTGTGTTGGGAACACAGGTGAAGGACAGCTGTGCCACAGTGCTACACAGAGGTAGACATCTACCCAAATATAGCATATATTTTACAAGATTAAGAAGTTTAAAAGGTTCTTTTTAAAATGTATTATACATATATATCCAGAGAACTTTGAAGAGCTCCATTTCACTAACCTAAAATTTAAAAACAGTGAAACAAATTTATGAAGTAAAGCTTATTAAAGTAAGTCTGTCATTTAAAAATAAAATTTTATACCATCTCAGATATTATGTGAGCTTTTAAAATATACTGTTATTTGTCATAACAACCCTGTGAAGTAAATGTATGCATAGTAAATAAGGCAAACAGAGGGTAAGATGGTGCTAGGATTCAAACTCAGTCCAGACTCTGTCTGTGCCCCTGACTCACATTCCTGGAATAAAATAAGCACTGTGATCAAACTTAGGAATTCATTTTTATAAGTTAATCTTCTGTGTAGTGTGTAAACTGAGTCTGATTGCAGACTCTTGCAGTTAGAATTCTTAACTCCAATTCTCAATTCTTTGTCTTGTGATGTCCTCATTTGCTTTGTGACATAAACTAAGGCAAAGAAATATATTTTCTTCAATACCACACCCTAAGATATTCAGTCTGAATGAGATCACCAAAGGGGAGGGGAATGTGAGGGAGTGGAAAATAAACTTGGTTGTTATGACTATGCTTAGAGAATCATCACTAAGACAGTGGCTGAATAGTACTGGCAGTTTTCCCCCCATGTACAAAAGGATTATGTCCCAAAGCCTCATCCGTAAATGCATTATTTAGGGTCTGAACTATGATCTATTCATTCATTTTTTACAGTTGTATTAATATTAAAACAGCATGGATTCAATGAAGTTTTGCTTTTCTACATTCAAATTTCCAGTCAAAATTCCCAAAAGCACACTTACCCTTTCGGTGGCACTGGAAGTATATTGGTCAGGTCATTAGCCAGGTACTGGGAGTGCATGTGCGCTCACGAGCGCGCGCACACACACACACACACACACACACACACACACACACACACACACACACACACACACACACACACACACACACACACACAACCACACACACACACAC